TATACTCAGTGTGGTAGGCAGATCGGAGGAAGCTGTACTTAATTAATCTTTTTATTAATTAATTAATTTGTTTGTTTATTTCCATTTCAATTTATTTTTCTATTTCAATTTCATTGAAATAACTTGAATTGGAAATAAATAAATAAATAAATAAATAAATAGCCCTACTATATTATTTCATGAAAATAGCAAAAGAATTTAACCAATATGGGCCACATTTTTGAATGAGTCTGAGCTTTAATGATGATCAGCTCTTGCTAACATTAGTAATTGTAATGAATTATGGACAGAGAAGAAGCAATAGTTGTTTTTAATCTTGGACTCTTTTTTGTCATAAGATGAGGAAGCTACCTTTCAATCACATAATTTATATGTGATTCCTCTGCGTAATCTAGGGATATAATCCTGGCCATGCTAAAATAGCTTGAGTTGAGTTATTGATATTGTCCTACCAAAGGAAGGAAAAGGTATCTGGCCAGACAGTACTTGGTCTGGTGAAGGTGACATTCCTTCCTTTCATATACTTATGGAAAGCTCAGCAGATGTAAACAGCTCGTCAGTGATAATTCTCCCATGGTGGTGGTAGGCAAGGTATGTTGGACAGCCCCTACCTGCTCTGAAAGCTCAACTTGGGGCTGGAAATAATTAGTTTCCTCTTTTGCAATTGGAGAGGGTGATGAAAAAATGAAAAGAATGAGCCACCCATTTCTCTTCTGCTTGCTAGAGCAAGCCAACTAGACTCAGGAAGTACCAGTAGCTCCATCAAAGGCACCCAGTCCACCTGCTCAGCCAGAAAGCTATAGACCAAGAGCAGTTATCTTGATGAAGTAATTTATGAAATCCATTTTGGTTTTTGTAAACTTTGCTATCTGACCCACAACTCCTTCCTCCTCTGTGATGGTCAAGATGATCAAAACTGGTGTTTGCATATTATCAATGGGCAGATGCTACCCAGAAGCTTTGGCCATTAGATGGGTAATCAATTCCAGTCAGGCATTCAGTGCACTTGCAGGAACTTTCAGAAGCTTCCTGGTAATGTCTTTAGCAATGAATTTGCCAGTGAGACTAGAAAACAGACAGATGGGAAAAATTTATCGAGCTCAGTTCTCTGGAGCCATCAGCAATTTTGCTTTGTTTCTCCTCCTAGGAAAATGTTGGCCGAGAAAGGCAAGCTTAAAGTGTGAAAAAGGAAACAAAAGGAGGGTTGATGGTGTATTTCACCTTTTTCAAGGTGTTTGGGTACAGTGGGAGCTCCAGTCTAACCAAATCTTCTCACATCTCAACAGGAAGGCAGGTTTAGGCTACTGATGCCTCCTGTTCACTAATAAATCAACTAAAAACTGATTTTAAAAAATAAAATTATAGTTGAAAGATTAGTAGAGCTGAATCAAGTTATCTACCTTTTGCAGATTTATTTTAAGAGTATGGATCTTGCCTTGATTTTTTGGGGGAGGGGAGAAATTCTAATTAATATGGTGTACTATAATGGTAGTACTTCTCTGCGGTAGCCCCTGGTCTTTGGAACAT